TCAAAATTTTAATTCATCCCCGGAACAGAAGTTCAAGGCATATATAGTCAAAGCATTATTTTAGAAGCCCTTTTCCTTGAAAGGGGAAGGTTTATAAAATATTTTATTCTTTCTTAATTTTTTTGCCAAAGAATTGCATTAAATAATTTTTTCATGTAATAATATTTTTAAGACAATTTTATACATAAATTCTAATTCACAATTGACACTAAATATAAAAAAAAATTCCATGTTTATACTCTTGTTCAAAATCACAGTTCCTAACGTATTCAGTCACGTTAGCACTTTTCATTCAAGAATGTATAATAAAAAGTACAACATTAAGTAAGTATAACAAAAAGTATAACATTAAGTAAGTATAACATAAACGTGTAACATTAAGTAAGTATAACATTAAGTAAGTAAAACATAAACGTGTAACATTAAGTAAGTATAACATTAAGTAAGTAAACATAAGTAAAGTATAACATTAAGTAAGTATAACATAAACGTGTAACATTAAGTAAGTATAACATTAAGTAAGTAAACATAAGTAAAGTATAACATTAAGTTAGTTTAACATAAGTAAAGTATAACATTTAGTATAACATAAGTAAAGTATAACATTTAGTATAACATAAGTAAAGTATAACATAAGAAAAGCATAACATTAAGTTTAACATAAGTAAAGTATAACATTAAGTAAGAAAAACAGAAGTAAAGTATAACATAAAGTGTAACATTAAGTAAATTCAGGGGCGTAACGTACACCCCCGCAACCCCCCCCTCGCACGAGGAGGAAGGGGTAGGATTCTGAGGAGCCCAAGGCCTGACTAATCCCAAGCACGTACCTTTTGTAAGATCCGGCTTGGGGCCCAAAACCTGACTTTGAAGGGGAGGCCACTGAGTAAATTAATGTAGATAATGAATAGATAAAGTATTACTGAAGGTAATTTAACAAACTGGACATTTTTATTGAATGAGTTTGCAGTTAAACAGAAATAAATATAAAATCGGTTGAAGGTTATGAGCCATTAATTTTTTTCGGTTGATAAAATCTGATTTTAAATTTTGAATAATGTAAAATAATTACATTCATTCAAAAACTCACAAAATTTATTAAAAAAGTCTTTGAAACATTACTAACGAATACTTCGAACTTTTAATAATAAGGCCTGAAGCATTTTTTGTTTTAAAAAATACCTCAACACGCTCACAGTATGCGAACGATAAGGAAAAATAAAAAACAAATATACCTTAAATGGTGAACGTGAACTTTATTTCCTGTGAATATATAGGGATAAAAAAAATTTCTGTTCCCACGTGGAAATTAATTGGAAATAATTTTGAAGCATTTAATCATATTTAAACATATATGTTGCAGAAAAAAATCAATGACTTTAAATAAAACATGGGAAATATATTTGGGCTTTATAATTTGTATGCAATTTTCGTTTTTTTGTGTTTTAAATAGCAGACGCGAACTTTTGATTCTCTTCAAAGCACTTTCTAAAGCTAATTTATGTGTTCGGTCAACTGTAACGTCAATATAACAACTATACAAATGCAAATATGCATTAATTTTAACCTGTTCCAACACTTTTAAATATTATAGAAATTTAAACAAATTGTAATGAGCATTGTGTATTCTTTTTCTTTTCTTTTTTTTTAAACTGGAAAAATTACAGATCTTTTTCAGAAAGAGCAATATATTTTAATACAATGCATAACAAAAAAATTAAACTGAATTTTTGAAGGAATAGTTAACGAAATTGTTTTTATTTTTTTTTCTCAACGAACACTTTTTAAAATATTTCCGTATTTCATTACCTTTAAAAAAAAAAATCTTATAAAAATACGATATAAAATATTTTGTACTTAATGATTTCGCCGGCAAAAATCTCGCCGAGTTGGCGTTATTGGCGACAACACACAATATATGCATAAACATATTAATAGTTATTAGTTCTCATTCGTCTTTCATCCGTTTTTGATATATTATGAAAAAGACGTTACTGATAAGAAATGCCACAATTTTTGTTTTGAAAATCTAGTGGTAAAAGGTTACCAGCAGGAATATTGTGTTTGGCGTCGGTTGTATCATTTTTGGCGACTTTACCACCGCATCGGCGAAATGGAAAAATACCAATATATTTCATTTAATTTATGTAAGGGGAAACTAGAGCTATTTTCAGAGTATTATATTGCTTGTAAATATTTTAATTTTAAAGATTTATAAGAAATTCCATAGAATATAAATTTTCTGAATAATTTTTCTGGGAACTTTAAATGGATCAATTGATGAGGATATGACAGAAATAGTGCATTTCTTTTCAAGTTTTTATGCCAGGCTTCATGGTATCGTTATATTCGATTTGGATTAAAATGTTCACAAAATTCCTATTACTGTTCCCGAAAATTCTTTGATACCCTTGAGACTTTGCTGGACGTTCACCAGCAGTCCACATTTGACCCATACAAAAGTCTGCTAATCAGATTCAACACTACTCATAATTTTAAGGTTAGATGACGGGTCAACATCTTTTTATGTGGCATCCGTTTTTTAAACTTCCTCACCACGCCAATGGAAGGATTTTGAACCTCGATAGATTTAATTAAGCCTTCGTATTAGACCAGGGGTGGGCAGACTTGTCCAGGGGGTGGGCCACTTTTAATTTTTTCAAGGAGTTGCGGTCCGCCCAGTATTAGTGGCGCACACAGGGGTGGGGGAGAGGTCCACAGGTCCGGACCCTCCCTCATAACCCTTCATTTTTTCTCCGTTTCATTATAGTCCCATATATATAGTATGTAAAATGTTATTTTGTTATTGATATTAGTAATTTTTTTTATTTTATTAATGTTAATTATTTATTCAGTAATTTATTTTTTGCTGTTTTTTATTTCCGACAATCGACAAAATCAAAAAAATGTGATTTGCTGCTTATTGGGGTAGGATACGTGAATGGTAGACCTTCAACCCTCGACCCCCTTCCCTTTAAAAATTCTGGTATACGCTACTGCCCAATGTCGTAAGTGTGGTGAAGTGAGGAAAAGGTTATTATTATAACTTCATAATTAGTACGGAATATGTACTTATCTACCGAACTAAAATAAAAAACAACACTTTTAAAACAGCGTTTAAAGCAAAATTCAAGATACAAACTTAATAATAATGGTTCCAAATATATCAAATGATACATTTATTATGAAACAATTCAAAATACATTAAAAAAATAGAACATTTTTATCTGAAGTTAGATCTTGAATTTTCCGTTTATAATTTACTAACAGATAAAATTTTTAGGTGGTCACCCCCAAATGTCTTGGCGGTCCACCGGTCGATCGTGATCGACGTAACGCCCATCCCGGGTATTTGACCATCTACCCAAGTAAGCAATCGGAAGCAGAAGGCAAAACAGATTATTTATAAATTAGTCTTAATTGATAGGATGATTATGGCAACGGTACTCGAAACTAAAAACCATAATCCCAAAGAGGAGGATTATATATTAACTATCTCCTTCAACTAATTTCCACACTACAACGTGAGAAGTTTTTGAGTTGAATTTAAAGTATGCTGTAGCTTGCATTTTTTTACAAATAGTCTTTGGTGGGACCAGGACTTGAACTCATGACTCAAATTAAAGAAATACGTTAAGCTTCCAACACAGTTTAATACGAATTTTTCTTTCTTTTACAAATCTTTTTGATGGGAATCTTCGTTACCTATTCTAATTTTCTGTTTGATGAAAATTATAAATATTAAAAAAAATATGTTTCGCAATTTTGAGTTTCAAAGTTGTACAAATCGTTTCGTAAAATAAAGGAGTTTACGGTTGTATTTGAAACAACCTACTAGAGGTTGTTGGTGCTTGGGGGTTCGAGCAAATATCAACAATAGCAAGTTTTAAACTCAATTTATTTATCTCTTTACTTAATCAACACAACTAAAGGTAGGAAATGCATCTAGTAAATAATTAGAAGAGCAATCTCTCTCTCACGACTTAAGGCTCCAGAGTGAGTGAGTGAATATTAACGTCGCACTGTTTAGCTACTTAGCTACACGAGGGTTTTTGGCGACGGTCCGCGTAATTTTGAACCATGGTCAAGTGACGCGGACGACACCTGATCTGGCACTCCCCTCTCCTAACTACCACACCAAACCAACGGGAGGATGTTTGAGCTCTCGACAGATTTAACGTACATCGCTTCCCTACACGGCGGGTCTTTAGTGGTACTGGGATCGAACTCATCACACGCTAGCCATGATCCGATGCCGAGACCACTTAGCTACCGCGGCCACCTTAAGGCTCCAGGCATAAAGTAATTAACGGCTTAAGGCATATAAGTATAAATTTACTCAACTTAACTCTTGGAGAGCTCTAGACTTCTACGCTAGAATTCACTGTAAATATCTTTCTTAATTACACGACATCCAGTCATAAATCTAGTGCACAATTTTAATCACTTTAAATCTCCACTTCTCAGCTATCGACCATCCAGTGATTATCCGTCGACTAACTTCGCGTACCTAAATGCCTACGCTTAAATAGAACCACTCATCTGCATAAATCAAGTATTCCTCATCGAGGGACGTTTTTAACAGAACTTACAGTTTAAAAGAATAATTTTACCCGAAGAGGATTAATAGAAGGCTCGCGGATAGATCGTTACACATTTTTATTTGAAATAAAAACTTTGGGAGTACTAATAGCATTTGTATTTTAAAATTAAGAGCAAGAGTTTTTCTTATATAGCAAGTAATATAAAAAAAATTTCTTAACTCAATCCCTATTTAAGTCTACAAAGAATGATTTTATTTTAGTTCATTTTTATTAAATAATTACATTTAATATAAATATGTGTATACATATATGACAAAATCACAATATTAAGTGACAAAAAAGGAAGCGATTTTTCTTGCAATTTTCCATTTTCTTCACTATAACATAGTTGTTGGACTATTTTTTGTTTGTTACTATTTATTCATTAATAATAAATCGCATTCTCAGAAATTAGGCCATTCCAGGTGGGAATCGAAACCCCCGTCCTTTGGATTAGAAATCCAACGCGCTATCCACTGCGCTTTAGGGACACAAGGAACGATTTCTCTTTCTTTTTTTACTGTTGAACTATTATTTTTGTTTGTTACTATTTAGTCATTTTTTAATTTAATTTAATGAATTAATATTTTAAAAACTGTGTATTAACCTCAGGTGTTATCCACTACAAGTTTAAAAAATGTATTTAAACTTGAATGGATGAATAGAAAGCATTTTATTAACGATAGAAAATTTGAACAAGATATATATATATATATACATATATCTAGGGAAAGAGTGAACTAATATTCGGAATTGAAAAATACAGTAGAGCCCTGAAAGCTCGGCACTCGATCACCCGGTAGTCCGGATAACTTGGCCACTCCCTTGCTAAAAAACCCCACGTCCCATGCAGGTTTTATTTCTGATGCAGAAATTATTGCTGCTATCACGGTAAATGATAAAACGTCGGAAAATGATGAAGACTTTAACGTTGAGGACACCCTACAAACTCCTAAAATATCACATAGTGAGGGACGAAAGGCTGTCGAATCTATCTTTCAGTATGTTTAACAACAAAGTGTGTCGGTAATAGACTTACTGCTTCTTCGTCACTTTCGTGATGAAGCAGAGTACAGTACTGAAAACAAATGAGCATTATGCATTTTTTTAAAATAAAGTAACCAGTATTTATAATGTCGGTGCTTAATTTTCATTATAGACAAATTACCGAATACCTACATTGTGTAAATATATACCGTATGAATTACTGTACTATGTAATTATTAATTTTCATTTTCATGTAGTATATATAAATGCTCTGTGCCTTCATAAAGTACATACTTTTCCTTTGTTTAAGGATATTTGGGCAGTTTATTTTCTGTTGTATTCTCAAAAGCATCAATACAGGTAAGTGTAGTACGATATTTTCTGAGGAAACACTCGTACTTATTCTTTTTTTTAATTTAGTCTTTTTCTCGATAACCCGGCATTTTCAAAAACTTGGCTAATCTTCGGTCCACATTGAGCCGAATTCTCTGGACTCTACTGTGCTTTCTAAAAGTAATTTGTTAAGATGATAAATATTTATTTTGAACGTGAAAAAAAATAATTAAGTTTTTTCTTTAAAAAAATTCATTTACATTTTTCCTAATCCTTTTTTCATTTATAGTACAACTTTCTATTAACCTGGGAGCGGTCGCACGGGGCACGGAGTCATCCTAGGCTCAAGAAGTCTAATTCTGCGAAAACTGTTTATTCGTTATAAATGACCTTATCAAAATATCCTCCTATATGACAGTATTCATGTAAGTTAAATATATTTGACACATATCTCCCTCTTTTTTGGGAACGGCAAACGTTTTCTTACAATCTCAAGGTTCTTGAGGTGACTGAATTTCCAGCGCGACCACATTTGTTCCAAAATATTTTGTAAGAAAAGACCACATTTCCCCCCTGGGAACGCTTTATTTAGTGATTTTAATTGATGTGTTGTACGACTCATAATGGTTTGTAAATGTAAATGAACAGAATATAAAGAAAAAAAAGGCCATCTGGGCGATCTATATTGGATGAAGTTGAAACTGATCAAGCAAGGGATTAAAACCTTATAAAATAACGGATATTAATCTTGATAGCGAAAGTAAATTTGAGAAAAATAAATTTATATAAGAATATAAACTTCAGCGTTTGAATTGAAAGGAAAATTTTCAAATGCTACCTAAAAACAATCCCTCAAGAAAGATATGAAGCCACAAGTATACTACAAGACACACTGTACCCTGTTAAAGAGACACAAGTGTGATAAAGCTCTACATATTATTTGTCGATCATCAAGGACAATAAAACTACAATAACTTAAACAAAATATGACCGTTTTGCTTGCAAATATTATTCCTTTAATGTTACGAAAAGCGTCTGTGATTTGTGTCCTTTAATAAGGTCACGCACATTTGAAACATTTAAGTTCAATTTTATTGGATTTTTTTTTAAATTATCAAATAAAAATTGAAAAGCCCTTAAAAGTAGGTACGCATACTTTCTCTTAGTAAATTGTTCACTGGTCTTCTGATTTTTATTGTGTACAATAAAAATAATTATAAAAAAAATGATTGGGGTGACTCAGTTACTCCGCGTGACCATTAACATTACCATCGAGTGCGCGCCTGCTCCCGGCTTAGACAAAAATTTTATTTCGCAAAAACTAATTTTTTTTTATAATTAGTATTTTAAAATATTGTGCAAATATCTTTTGGGAAGGAAATTTTTATGTTTTTTAAAGCCTATCACGTTGAATTAATAATCCATTTACAAACATGAAACTGCGACCTTCTAATCCATTCATTGTTCTGTGAATTGAAGATGACCCAGTTCTTTTGTTCGGAATTAAAAGTCAGGAACGTGATTTCATTTCACTTCATGAATGCTTTCCCTTATGCGTAATTTGTCGTTCATTTTTTTTTTTCTTTTCAAAACGTACGATTATATTTGGTCTTATAATGATCATACTTTAATCTTCGAGAGAAATTAATTTTACCTTTCCTGATGTCAGTAACGTTTTTAAATGGTACATAATGGAATAGAAAATGAACACAGAAAGAAAGAAATGCAGCAGATCATTTTCAATAGTATGCAAATTATCATAATGTTTAATGCAATTAAAAGTGATTTCAAAATCGTAATTATCATAAATTTTTATCGAAATTGAAAAAGAAATGAATTGAATTAAATTACCGTATTCTTTAGAAAGAACTTGCTTAAGCGAGATTTACTGAATTAGAAGTATATTAAATTTTTAAAAAAATATATCCTTTTTATATAAAGAGTATACGATTGTGTTTGTCTTAAAAAACAAAATTTCTCTTTCTTCCTCTTTTATCTTTTTGTATACTGGGTAAATTGAAATAAAACTCATTTAAAAAGATTAAAAAAACATCTTTAGTCTATCCATTAATAAATTAATTAAATGTATTCGCCTCTTAGAGGTTTAAATAATTACTTCAATTTAGGGTCATTTTTCAGCAATTATTAGGACGTCATATTTATATTATGATCTTTAAACTGGTTCCTTGACTTCTTTTTTGGTACTCTAAAGGCTTTTCTTCAATCGACAGTGAGCCCTCGTGTTACTTTAAAAATAATTTTAATAAAAAGGATATTGAAAGGATAAAACAAAATCAATGAAAATAAAAAGGATAATGAAAGGATGCTAAAAGAATTACCGTAAAATCCGCTCGCGCGCTGCGTATGACGCGCACCTAAACTTTCAATCTGCATTTTTAATTTTATGGAATATTTGCCGTATAATAGCGTAGCCCCTTTTTTTTATGTTTCAAAGCCATTTGTTCGAGGTATTATCCAACGATTTTGAAACAAGATATCAATCATTGGCATGGCCAAGTAATTTTAGCGCGTTTTTGAGAAAATTTTGTTATAAACTAGCGAAATTCAGGAAAATTTGTAGGAAAATTCGGGAAAACTATGGGAAATTTAAATACGATTCGGCTCATCTAGGGACCAAATGCGACCAAATGCCGAAAACCCGAGGTCAATTGGTTGCTTATTGGCTGAGAAAAAGGTACGACAAAATATGGAACGAAGACGAAGACGAAATTTGCGTCCTAATAGCGCTTTTGTTCCACTTCGTGAAAAACGCGCTAAAAATAGTTTTTTTTTTCTAGAAAAACAACCCTTTATGTTCATAAAGTATGACATTTATTTTAAATCACAATATTCCGATCTTTGTAGAAGTCTAAGTTTTTTATGTACATTTCTTTTTTTTTTAGCGCGCTTTTCACGTAGTGTAAAAAAAGCGCTATTAGGACGCAAATTTCGTCTTCGTTCCATAGTTTGTCGTACCTTTTTCTCAGCCAATAATTAACCGATTGTCCTCGGGTTTTCGGCATTTGGTCGCATTTGTGCCCTAGATAAGCCGAATCATATTTAAATTTAATAATTTTAAAAAAAAATTTTAAATTTTTTTAAGTATAGTATTACTTTATGTTAGTAAAAAGTTCATTAGTTGCATTATTGTAAAATACAACATGTGAAAAACGCGCTAAAATTACTTGGCCATGCCAATGATTGATATCTTGTTTTATTTTTAAAGCTATTATTTTTATACCTGGCTTATATATAAACCGCACCCGTAAATTTCAAACTTATTTTTTTGTTAAAAGTGCGCGTTATACGTCGGATTTTACGGTAAATCAAACGAGTTTACTGTCATATTTTAAACAGTAATAAACTAAATGGAGCAGCGGTTCTTAAACTGTGGTCCACGGACCCCCAGGGGTCCACAACGCCTTTCTAGGGGCTCTACGAAAATCTCTCATTTAATGGAAGATTTCCCACTTTTACACACTTTGAAAAGCCTCCTGGAAAAATTGAAACACGTGCCATCCTATAGACTAACTTACTAAATTCCCCCTAATGCTAAAACTCTACTTGAACTTGTATTTTGATTAAGAATATTAATTCAGTTTTTTTATTGTTTGCAACTACAACGCAATATTAATAAGATGTTTACTCTTTTCCTAAACGAAAAAGTAATATAACAAAAAATTTTAAGTCATTTCCTACTTAGATTAACAAAAATAAAAATTATTCCAGTTACTTTTTATTAAATAGTTACAATTAATATATAAATATGTATATACATATGACAGAATCCCAACAGTAAGTGGCAATTAATTTTTATTAATTATCATTAAAGTATCGTATTGTCATACAAAACAATCGTGTAAGTAAAATTTCAGTTCTACTGAATGCATTGGAACACAAGGGGAAAAAAATATTTCAAAGAGTTTTGACCCAAGTCGCTAAAAATGAAGCCAACGTGGCTGTATCTGTAATTCTTTAAATAATTAATTTCAGTCAATTAATTTTAATCAATTATAATTAAATTATCGTATTGTTACCCCAAACAATAGTATATAGAAACTTTCAGCTCAAATGAGCGCTTTAAAATGTGAGGGGAAAAAACCTTTCCAAGTTTTGACACAAGTCGCCAAAATGGTTGCTAAGTCGCTAAAAATGATGCCAACGT